ATCCATCCATCCATCCATCCATCCATCCATCCATCCATCCATCCATCTATCTATCTATCTATCTATCTATCTATCTATCTATCTATCTATCTATCTGTCTATCATCTGTCTAATCTATATCAGAGATGGTATTCAGCAGGTTCTGACCAGTTCTGGAGAACCTTTAGTGGAAATTTTGAGTAGTTCAGAATACCACTTCTGACTGGCCCCACCCCCATCTATTCTCTGCCTCCTGAGTCCCAACTGATCAGATAGGACTTCTTTTGTTGCCCTGCACAGAAGAACAGAGCTGGAAAACAGGTTAGTGGGGTGGGGACGGAATGGGATTTTGCAGTATCCTTCCCCTGGAGTGGGGTGGGAATGGAGATTTTACAGTATCCTTCCCCAGCCATGCCCACTAAGCCATGCCCACCAAGCCAGACCCACCAAGCCATGCCCATGAAGCCACACCCAAAGAACGGGTAGTAAATTTTTTGGAATCCCACCACTGATCTATAGAGGACCTGTTGGCACAAAGGTTAGTATTGCTGGCAAATTCAACCAAGAGTCTGGAGTTCTTTCCCCCCCCCTAACAATGGAAATGTAGTTTGTTTCCAATGGAGAAACAGAGCAAGATCAAACACTTGTAAATCCAATTAATTTCAGTTCAGGGTATACTAGTGCTTTTTTCTCTTTTCCCATTGACATCAGAGATTCATACATTTTCCCTGGCAACAGCATATTCCATAACCGAAGGGAAAAAAAAGCATTGCTTTCAGATTGAATCATATTTAAAGTAGATAATTAAAATCAATGTAGCTTAGTTAATCATTATTAACTTAAGTCATATTGATTTCAGTGACTCTATGCATAGAACACTAAATGTAATCCTGTGGCATACAAAAAACACAATTTGGAGTATTCTATTATACAAAGTATGTAGACAATGGCTTAGTTTGAGGATAAAAATCTTGTATATCCTGTAAGAAATAAGAAAATTCAAAAATAAAATGTAAGTGAAGAGAATAGTGTATTATAGCATTGAGAAGACAGTTGCTCTATAGACATTTGCTATCTTGATGTGATCCTGCTGTAAATATATTTTCTAATGCATTTACTCATTGTTAAAGATGTACCTGCAATCAATTACACCTTCCTGTATCAAATAATGCCTCCCCCTATTTCCTCCAGGAATTGGTACATATCTCAAAGTGTCAAGGCAATTCACATACACATTTGACATAACAAAAGACCAAAGTGATCAATTAGGAGGACAATAGGAGAAGAGATAATAAAAGATAAACATTACCCTAACTTCCTTGAACAATTGAAGTTAGATTTTGTTTTACAAAGCATCTGCTTAAGTTTAATCTTGGCACATTGTGATTTTAAGTTATAACCAGGCTTTAACTTTGCACAGGTGAATACGTAAGATAATCATTATGTTGTTCTAAGATGGCTTGAGAGAAGATGTGCTGAATGTAACACTAATAAGTAACAGTGTGGTGTTAGAAAATAGATGTTTCTTTGTTCTCAGACAGTTAGAAAGGAGATCATATGGTCTCCATAAGGTGTTTTGGATTAGCTGTGCTTGGTCACTGGACCCGATGTAGGAGGGGTATAGGGGCATCAGAATAGAAAAAGTATAAAATGTAATATTCTGAAATCTCAAGGTGTGGTTCTTTGCTCAAACCTCATGTTGAGATAAGCCAAGATTTTACTGCTCTTTGCAAACAGCTTTTTCCCTTTTGTATGCTTTGATTTAAGCTTACAAATAAAAACTCTGTGTTTTCACCAATCCAAGTTCTTGTTATCAGGAGTCATTTCCAACATATTCTTTGCTGTTTATGGTCCAATCATACTGAAATTGACTAATGCAATTTATGCATTTCAATTTCTACAGATTCTCCAGAGATATTTATTGAAGGATTGGGGTTGGACTTTTTCTTTTCTGTTGGCAAATATATTGCAGAGCTCATTAACAAATGATTTGGGCACACTCCATTACGATCTCAAACTATTTTGCACATAGGGTATATATGAACTCAACTTTGCAGGAAAACATGGCTGTCAAAAGATGTAAATGTAACACTAAATTACATTCCAAAAATATGTAATTTGACATGTTATGAAGAACTCTAGTTCTGTTGATCTTGCACTAGGAATATCATTCCGTGTAGTTGCAATAAAAACAACATTCCAGATATTAAGAAGCAGATTCAATAAATGTGTTCTCAGTCAATATTTGGAATGTCTTCACACTGTAGAAAAGAGAAGGCAAAGTGCTCCGTTTCTAAATGATCGAGAGCAGAGTTGGTATTCAGCAGATTCTGACGAATTCTGGAGAACCGGTAGTGGAAATTTTGAGCAGTTCAAAGAACCAGCAAATGCCACCTCTGACTGGCCCCGCCCCCATCTAGTCTCTGCCTCCCGAGTCCCAGCTGATTGGGTGGGTCTTCTTTTGTTGCCCTGCGCAAGAGAACGGAGCTGGAAAGCAGGTTAGTGGGGAATGGAGATTTTATAATATCTTTCCCCCAGGAGGGGGAGGGAATGGAGATTTTACAGTATCTGTTAGGAATACACCCTAGCAGATTCTGCACAGGGCAGTCAGGCAGGCAGGCAAAATATGTGAGATAAGTGTTGTGTAGCTTACACTCAGTAAACCATACACAGTGCCAATTAAAATAGTTTTATTCCAGCAAGAGTTAAAGCATAGTCAAAACAGTCCATACACTTAGTTCAGTCCGTCCAGGGATTATTCATTTGCAAATTCCAGTGTCCAAAAACGAGAGGTCAGTACACTTACAAAATAACAGTCTGGTAATTTATCTCCTCGCAGTAGAGAGAGATATGCAACAAACTCAGAAACTCCTCTCTTCCTTTTGCAACTCCAGTAATTGCCAGCAAAGCGTTAGGGAATCGTCAGCGTCTCATCAGTATCTCTTGCTCCCTCTTATGGTGTTTTCACACCACACCCAAAATACATGCTTTGCATTTAAAGTAACACACACTTTAAACTAAGAATCATAGCTTATATATATATTATCTTACCCAAACTAGTTAGGTGACCAATGTTATACCTAACATAGTGGGGTGAGGAGGGAATGGAGATTTTATAATATCTTTCCCCCAGGAGGGGGAGGGAATGGAGATTTTACAGTATCCTTCCCCTGCCACGCCCACCAAGCCACGCCCACAGAACCGGTAGTAATATTTTTTTAATCCCATCACTGATCAAGAGCTAACAACATGTTAAAGGCTTAAAATAGTATAACAATAATTATTCATTCAATTTATATATCTGCCCATTTCTCATTTGTGACTCTGGGCAATTGACCCAATTAAATCAGCAGCAAAAGACAGTAAATTTAACAAATTTATATGGCTGCCCCATTCAGGCACAGGACTCCAGGCACTTTACAACATTAAAAAAGCCCAAACGTAACACCCAAAGAATCGCATCTCATACCCACCCCCACCCCATCCCTGTGGTGGCAACAAACACAAATTATTAGGAGATTCAGGCGGTTGAAATGAGTGTCAAGATGTATTGCAAGCTTAAGCTCTCTATAAGAATCTGAACTACTAACGGCTGAGGGAAATTAGCGAGAGATAAAGAGACCAGTGAAATTGTAGGTGGGAGGGATTTAATCTCTTGTGGGAATGCGGGGACTCATGACTGATGACATATTTGACTTTTTCCTCATCTTGCTCCAAATCTTTTCAGGTGGACATGCTAAAGACTAAAGCTGCGGTTCTGCACATAAAACATAGATATTATTCTCCTCCTGAGCAACTTTTTCGTTCTGCTGCTTGACAAAAATTGTATAGGGATTGAAAGAGTGACTATTTCAATATCTGTGGCTAGAGAGATGTTTAGGGTGCTGGATTGTTTCTAAGTTCAAATTTTAGAATGTGAATAAAGGCAGACCAATAACATCCACGTGTTTGCACTACACTTCACAACCTCCACCTGAACAAAATACTGGAAGAAAAAGGGGAAAACATACGAAAGTCTGAAATGTTCTTTTTAAGAAAAGGTTCAGTTTAACATGTTGTATGAAAACCAGCCAAACATATGAATTAATGTCCACAGAAATAACCCTTTCTTTCATTTATCTGTTATTTCTCTCACTGTATATGTGAAGCCTGCAAAACAAATGTCTGTTGCAGTGGTGGGATTCAAATTTGTTTTACTACCAGTTCTGTGAGCATGGCTTGGTGAGTGTGGTATGGCTTGGTGGGCATGGCTTGGTGGACATGGCTTGGTGGGTGTGGCGGGGGAAGGATACTGTCAAATCCCCATTTCCACCCACTCCAAGGGGAGGATATACTGCAAATCCTAATTTCCTCCCCACCCACTAACCTGCTTTCCAGCTCTGTTCTCCTGTAAAGGGCAACAAAAGAAGACCCAGCCGATCAACTGGGACTCGGGAGGCAGAGAATAGACGGGGGCAAGGCCAGTCAGAGGTGGTATTTACCAGTTCTGCGAGCTACTCAAATTTTCTGCTACCGGTTCTCCAAAACTGGTCAGAACCTGCTGTATACCACCTCTGGTCTGTTGTAAATGCATGCCGATTGCCAATTTTGATCACTTGACAGTTGGAGGGCAGTGCTGTGACAGTCCTAAGTTTGAGGTTTGATCACAAGTCACTTTTTTTCCCATGCTGCCATAATTTTGAGCAGTTTTTGAATCTATGATTGTAAATTGAAGATTACCTGAACATGTGTATATTAGTCTGATCCAAAAATGCTGGCAATATGGTAAATCCCTAAAAGAAAGAAGCATTTTGCAAGTACAGATGCCATCTTCAGGTTTTTATTTACCAAATGGCAACAGATATAAATATCATCGAGGTAGCAGATTTATTAATAAGAGATAAAGCAATAGGGCAAAATGCAAATTATGTGAACATTTGAGCTAACAAGCAAAAATTTTAGTTCTTTCTTCACTTCATTCTTTCACCCTTTCCAATCTCCTTCCTTTCTTCCTTCCTTCTCTGCCTCTCTCCCTCCCTCTCTTTCTCTCTTTGTTTTTCTCTTTCTCTTCATTTGTTTATACACTGCTCAAAAAAAATCAAGGGAACACTTAAACAACACAATGTAACTCCAAGTCAATCACACTTCTGTGAAATCAAACTGTCCACTTAGGTAGCAACACTGATTGACAATCAATTTCACATGCTGTTGTGCAAATGGAATTGACAACAGGTGGAAAGCATAGGCAGTTAGCAAGACATCTCCAATAAAGGAGTGGTTCTGCAGGTGGTGACCACAGACCACTTCTCAGTTCCTATGCTTTCTGGCTGATGGTTTGGTCACTTTTGAATGCTGGCAGTGCTTTCACTCTAGTGGTAGCATGAGATGGAGTCTACAGCCCACACAAGTGGCTCAGGTAGTGCAGCTCATCCAGGATGGCACATCAATGCGAGCTGTGGCAAGAAGGTTTGCTGTGTCTGTCAGCATAGTGTCCAGAGCATGGAGGCGCTACCAGGAGACAGGCCAATACATCAGGGGATGTGGAGGAGGCCGTAGGAGGGCAACAACCCAGCAACAGGACCGCTACCTCCACCTTTGTGCAAGGAGGGACAGGAGGAGCACTATCAGAGCCCTGCAAAATGACCTCCAGCGGGCCACAAATATGCATGTGGCTGCTCAAACGGTCAGAAACAGATTCCATGAGGGTGGTATGAGGGCCCGATATCCACAGGTGGGGGTTGTGCTTACAGCCCAACACCGTACAGGACATTTGGCATTTGCCAGAGAACACCAAGATTGGCAAATTTGCCACTGGCACCCTGTGCTCTTCACAGATGAAAGCAGGTTCACACTGAGCACATGTGACAGACGTGACAGGGTCTTGAGACACCGTGGAGAACGTTTTGCTGCCTGCAACTTCCTCCAGCATGACCGGTTTGGCAGTGGATCAGTAATGGTGTGGGGTGACATTTCTTTAGGGGGCCGCACAGCCCTCCATGTGCTTGCCAGAGGTAGCCTGACTGTCATTAGGTACCGAGATGAGATCCTCAGACCCCTTGTGAGACATATGCTGGTGTGGTTGGCCCTGGGTTCCTCCTAATGCATGACAATGCTACACCTCATGTGGCTGGAGTGTGTCAGCAGTTCCTGCAAGACGAAGGCATTGATGCTATGGACTGGCCCGCCCATTCCCCAGATCTGAATCCAATTGAGCACATCTGGGACATCCACCAATGCCACGTTGCACCACAGACTGTCCAGGAGTTGGGGATGCTTTAATCCAGGTGTGGGAGGAGATCCCTCAGGAGACCATCTGCCACCTTATCAGGAGCATGCCCAGGCATTGGAGAGAGATCATACAGGCATGTGGAGGCCCTACACATTACTGAGACTCAATTTGACTTGTTTTAAGGACATTACGTCAAAGTTGGTTCAGCCTGTAGTGTTTTTTTCCACTTTAATTTTGAGTGTAACTCCAAATCCAGACCTCCATGGGTTGGTAAATTTGATTTCCATTGATAATTTTTGTGTGATTTTGTTATCAGCACATTCAATTATGTAATGAACAAAGTATTTAATAAGAATATTTCATTCATTCAGATCTAGGATGTCTTATTTTTGTGTTCCCTTTATTTTTTTGAGCAGGTTATATACATACATCCCCACAATCTTAACGACTTACTGAAACAGGAATAAGGTCAATAATGAACACCTTAACAACCCACATTCTGCAGATGGCACTGTTCTTTCCTCTAATGCTGCTGAAAACCTTCAAAGGTGAATGACAGAATAAAATGACAGCACCAAGTTATCACGTTTGAAAATTAACTCGAAGAAGACACCAGTCATGTTCAAGAACAGCTGCCAAGTTCTACCAATAAAAATGGAAAATCATGCACCGGAGAAGGTCAAACATTCACATCTGTTTTCATCAAAAGCTTACTATGGAAGGGCATATCTTAGAACACATTTTGAGCCAGGCTAAAGTCAATTGGGCATAAATGGGCAATGTTATCCTGTATTCAAAAGCACTAGACTGATTTGCTCAGACATTGCTTAATGAGTGTATATTACCTGTGTTGATAGAGAGTTGCAAAATTTGGATGTCAAACACAAAGGCTACAGAGGAGTGTGGAATGTCAACGGCTTAACATAATAGAACATTTTAAGAGAAGAACTATATGGATCTGGAAACAAACAGGAGTATGTGATTTAATGAGGCGGGTAGATTCATGGAAATGGAAATAGGCTGGTCAGGTTGCACAAAAAGAGATCAATGTTAGACAACAATTGGTCAATTGGATAATAATTGACTTTAAAAGACCCAGAAACCATTGGAAGAAAAATTGGACAGATGCTTTAATTCATTAGTGCAGATAAGAGCAACAAGGATGATTAGGGCACTGGAAGCTAAAACACATGACGAATGATTGCAGAAAACATGAAATAATGAAAACATGGAACATAGAATAATAGAATTGGAAGGGACCTTTAAGGTCTTCTAGTCCAAACCCTAACTCCAGCAGGAGACCCTATTCCATTTCAGGCAAATGGTTGTCCAGTCTCTTTTTGAAAGCTTCCAGTGATAGAGCACCTACAATTTCTGAAGGCAAGCTATTAAAGAATGATTTTTTTAAAAGGATTAGGGTTGATATGATAGCAGTGTTCCGATATCTAAGGGACTTCCACAAATAAGGAAGGTGGTGTCAACCTATTTTTCAAAGCACCTGAAGGCAGGACAAGAAGCAATGGGTGGAAACTAATCAAGGAGAGATCCAACCTAGAACTAAGGAGGAATTTCCTGAGAGTTAGAACAATTAATCAGTGGAACAACTTGCCTCCAGAAGTTCTGAATGCTCCATCACTGGAGATTTTAAAGAAGAGATTGGACAGTCATTTGTCTGAAACGGTATGGTTTCCTGTTTGAGCAGCGAGTTGGACTAGATGACGTCTGAGGTCCCTTCCAACTCTGTTATTCTGCTCATAGTAACAACTTGGAGCATCTTACAGTACTTTGAAGCTGTTGGAATGCTGCTGAAGAGGGCAACATTCTGCACTGAATGAATGAATGAATGAATGAATGAATGAACGAATGAGTGAATGAATACAAATACAGACACACACATTTATGCATATTTCTTAATATATACTACTTAAGCATACAATACTTAAATGAGCAATGCAATCTCTCATAACTATTAAATAGGTTGAATAACATTTTTTAAAATGTTGCGACAGAAGGAGATTAATTTTAAAACATAGCCCTCTTTTTTTTTTTTTCCCAGGGCTATTTAAATTGGAATGCTTGCAACTTTAAATAGCACTCCCCCTTTCTAAAAGCTATTCTTGCCTATTGATAATTGCCAAAACCCTCCATGACTGTTGCAACAAATATATTTTAAGTTGCTTAAAGAATAAAGGAAAGAAAGGAAAAGAAAGGAGATCGAGAGGGGGAAGAATACATGTAATGAAGGTTAAAAGCAAAAGTATTAATCTTACATTCAAGCCGATCAAGTTTTACAAGCCACATCATGACTGTGTCTGGATTGACTATTACTCTGGGTTTGTAGGAGTTATAATACAAAAGGCCAATGGAGTGGAAAGCAAATGCATTTCAGAAATAGATGCCCATTATGTCCTTTTGCAAAGGTGATGCACTCAAAATTAGGGAGCTATTCACTGGCATCCTTATGCATGAAATAAAGTACATTGAGCTTGTGACCTTCGGTTTGTTCTACAACAGAACTTCTAGTAGTAAAACAGAAGTTGAGGGCCAAATGCTTGACCTGAAATATGGTCCATTTCACAACTGAAGAAGCTTCTTGGGTGAGAAGCAAAATGTTTTCAAAGGAGAAAAAGAATCCAAGAAAGTCCAGTTGCCTTTAGGAAAGAAAAAACATTTGGAACAACCATCACCTGGATGATTGAAAATCTCCATAAACACACGGTCCACCAATATCATTTTTTCAGGTCCTCCAGAGGGAATAGAGCCCCTAATGTTTGTCTTAACAGATATTTTTTTGACATTTGGGGAAAGATGAAGATGCAAAAATTGGTACTCCGTTCATCTTTTACAGCTCTGAAAGCTCATCCACACAGCTATCCCAGCTCTACAATGTCTGATATGGCCCTCAAGAAGATGTAGATAAATAGGTTGTATCTTTCTGAATAGAATATAAATCATTCGGGCTATCCAATGTAATGT